AGTGTTGAGAACTTTGCTCTACCTGTTATGTTAAGCATCTTGGACTAAGTGTCTTTTATTTTTAGACTTTTGAGCAATGTTGGGAAGACTGACTTGCCTGAGTAGAGAAATTTGGTAGGAGGAGACTAGAACCTCTTTATTAAAAATCTAAAAATAGAATTCATTAAAGGCACAGATAACAGAATTCCTGTCTCCTTTCCTTCTCTGGGTTGTTCCCAGCTGTTGCTTCTGCTTACCTGGAAAAGATCACAATATTTTGTCAGAAGGGTCAATAGTATAGACTTAACACGCTGTGTTTGCCAGTCTGAACATGTGCTTTATCCAGTTTTAAAAGTAGTCTAAAAAGTCACTGGATACCTGGGCACTGGGAAGAAATCTTCAGCAGGAAAAGTTGATTGTTCTTGCAGCATGAGCCCTGGGCTGACGGGGACCGTGGGGTGCCTGAGTGTGTGTGTTTTTTTCCCTTCTGGCTGGATGCTGTTGACCAGAGAGAGGACACCTGTGTAGGCCACCTAATCCACATGACTTAATCCGGTGGCACCTCAGGACTCTCTTCTGGCTTTTCAGGAGGGATCCTTTCTGGCGTGTGTAGCTCGAAAGGAAAATGGCTGCTCAGGCTGTCCTCTTCGGCAGTCCTCTGCTACCCTGGGCTGCCTGTGGCCTTTCCCTCCATGTGAGGGGGTGAAGGAATGTCCCGGCCTCCCCTCTTCCCTCCTGCCATGCGCTTCCAGGGAGAATGGGGCCCATTGTGGGCTGTTCACAGCCCTCCACTTAAGTGTCTGGCCTGCCATGGCCTCTCTTCAGTCTGCTGTGGTGACGGGATGCTGAGGGGGCCACGAGCCCGGCAAGCCGTCGTGTCCTCACAGGCTGCCCTGCCATTCAGGGGTGTTCTCAGCCGCGGTGCCTGTGCTGTGATTGCCCTCGGGGCTGCCCTCGGATTTTGTCATGTCTTGGTCAGCATTCTTGTGGACCCCTTTCCAGGGCTGAGCTCACTCTTGTGACAGATCTCAGGCCATATTTGGAGAGGCAGGCCTGCTGCTCCCAAGGGTGACTGACTGCTTGGTCACGGGAGGCTGGGGAGTTGCCCCAGGCCTTTGTTGTGTTCTGAATCCACTGGGAAGCATCAGATTAATCTATTTGTGAATGAAATTGGACTTCAGATTCTTGCTTTTCAAATTTATTCTGGCCTTCAGTTGTATCTCAGTAGAGCTGGGGAAAAACTTATTTTGGCCTTAATCAACTGTAGAACTTGTTGAAGATGTGAAATGCCAGAATATGGGATGCGGAAGCTAGAGAGACTTAAATTTTTTTTTTTTTTAAATTTATCTGGCTGCACTGGGTCTTAGCTGTGACATGCAGAACTCTCAGTTGTGGCATGCAGGATCTAGTTCTCTGGCCAGGGATCGAACCCAGGCCCCCTGCATTGGGAATGCAGTCTAAGCCACTGGCCCACCAGGGAAGTCCTGAGACTCAGCCTTTTAAAAAACAGGTTTGTTTTGGATACGGGAGCTTTCTCTTGATACCAAACTGCATTAACCATCAGATAGTTCTCCTAACCCCAGGCCAGTGTGTCCTTGGAAAATGGAAAAAAAATTAAAGAGATAATGATTTAAGGGAGACCTTAATGAGTTAAATAGTGAACAGATAGAGGTCACTGGCTGCTTCTCTTTTGAGGGTGTTGGCTTCAGATAAGGAGCCAGGTTTGTTATCAGCAGTTGTTAAACAGGTTCTGTGAAGGGTACTTGAGTGAGCTGGTAGTGGAATGGGAGATGGAGAAGGCCCAGTCAGGCCTTCCTGGAGTTGGCGAAGGCCTTTTCTAGATGAGGTCTATATTGATTGCCTGGGAGACTACTGAGAAATTTGCTCCTCTAAAACCCAGGTAGGTTGAGTTTGGAACGGTCCTGGGAATTGTTCTTGGAAGGCAGCTAAGCTACCCACTGTACCACGAATGCCTGGATTTGAAATTGTTCTTGATCATAGTGAAAAAAAAAATCCTTTCTTCCTATGATGCTTCAATATGCACAGTTTCTTTGTTTTCTAGGAAGTGTCGTGAAAGGAGCAGCTGGTACTTGCATTGCCCTGGATGTTTACCTTCCTCCTACTTTTTTTTTTTCTTTTATTACAGGAAAAAAAAAATTCTAGCTTATTTTAACCTGCTACCTGAGCAGAGTGATATGCTTCCTTCTCCATTTTAAGATTGGGAGTGGCACTCGTTTTTATCAAATAAAGGAATAAAACTTGCTGTGCTGAGATCACATTGCAGATGCCAGCTCTTTTTATAAATGATATTGAGTTTTCTAAAGGAGAGTTGTTCTTTCAGATAGTGCCTCGTCATGCTATGGTCTCTTGGGTTGTGACCTCCCAAGAAGTGAGGTCTACCCACTCAAGGCCCTTTCTTTTCAGCAAGACAGGCAAGATCTGTGGTACAAGTTTGATGAGGCTGGACAGTGAAAACACTGAGTACCCTCAGCAGTGGAAACCTGAGCCTGAGAAGGGAATCTGCCAGAGGTCCGGAGCTCCCTTGTCCCCCCTGCCTCAGTACAATCTGGAGAGAATTTCGTCCCCATAGGCTGCTGAAGAGAAAGTAAAACTTTTTGGTAGTGAGTCCTACACCTCTCCATAATTGGTACCTGTTATTCTTACACTTGTCCTTTTTCTGGTGTAAACTTGAGAGTCCAGTATTTAATAATAATTAAAAAAGTGTTAGTCGCTCAGTTGCATCTTGACTCTTTGCAGCCCCTTGGACTCTGTCCCAACAGGCTGCTCCATCTATGAAATTTTCCAGGCAGAATATTAAAGTGAGTTGCCCTTCCCTTCTCCAGGGGATCTCCCCAACCCAGGGATCGAGCCTGGGTCTCCTGCATTGCAGGCGGATTGGTTATCATCTGAGCCACCAGGGAAGCCCAGTATTTAATAAAGGCTGGACATGTTTCTTAGGCTAAGTGATTGATTCAGGGTTTTTAAAAATTGTGTGTTATTTTACATATGTAATAGATTATATTTTATGTGTACCAAGTTAGTATCTTATATATATTTTTTCAAAGCCTTAGACTATGAGCCCATTGTGCTAAGTCACTTCAGTCATGTCTAACTCTTTGCAACTGTGGACTTCTGTGTCCAAGCTCCTCTGTCCATGGGATTCTCCCATCTGTGCTTCCCAAAAAGCAGCACTGGCTTGACTGCTCGCTCACCTGTGGAGCTTTGAGCTCTGTGGTGTCTTTCTTAGGGTGGCTGATCCAGGATGGACTGGCCCCAGCAAGATGAGTAAAAGACAAAAATAGTTTGAGGATCAAGGATTTTGGTAGCTAGACAGCGTTGTTTGTATTTGTAAGGAGCTCCTTTGGCGATTCTTCGATGTGCCCAGCGTTTTCTCGAGCCTCACTAGTGCAGTAGAAGGAGCTCAGCCTGGCAAGGTTGTCATATGAATTGATTGACTAGAAGTGCTTGGTTTCCTTTTATTTTTTTTGGTATAATATTTATCTCTCTCTGAATATTCAACTGCACTGCATGCCTGGTTTGAAAAGTCCTTGGTTTTCAAAGGGCTACACGTATGCTTATATATATATTTTTAACATGTACTTATGTTTTCCCCATGTGACCATATGACTTCTTGACTGCCTGACTTAAAAACTGATTTTTCAGCCAGCAGATGTATTTTAAGACTTGGAGCCAGTGGGCGCGCCTGGTTGAATGTTGGGCAGCAGCAGTTTCTGTACCTGGAATATACAGTCCAGCTGAGCTGTAGGGCTGGAACTCTTTAGAACAGGAATTTTTTTTTTTCTTTTTTTTTTTCTTTATTTTTATTAGTTGGAGGCTAATTACTTTACATCATTGCAGTGGTTTTTGTCATACATTGAAATGAATTAGCCATGGATTTACATGTATTCCCCATCCCGGTCCCCCCTCCCACCTCCCTCTCCACCCGATCCCTCTGGGTCTTCCCAGTGCACCAGGCCCGAGCACTTGTCTCATGCACCCAACCTGGGCTGCTGATCTGTTTCACCCTAGATAATATACATGTAGAACAGGAATTTTAAGACCTAAAATTTGTTGTTTAATAGGATGAATTTAGTCCAGAATGTCAGAACCTTACTCTGTAAAGTCAGCATCCTCCCTGGAAACCTGAAGTGTTTGGGGCTTCCTTGACTCCCTGAGGGACAAACGGAGCTTGAGTATAAGGAAGATAAGGGTACATGCACTGTTGCCTGATTTCTGAGTGGAGGCTAATTATCCTATAGACAAAAACTGGGTTCCAGCCTCCAGGTAGTGAAAGCACCAGGCTTGATGATTCTCTGTCCAGAGGGAGCTGCCTGTGGGTTCCTACTGGAGAAGGCTCCAGGTGATTTCCAGATAGTGAAGGCATTTGGTCTCTGACCTTTGTTTTAGAGGCATTGAGGATAAAGCTGCTGGCTCTTAGCAGAGAAGAAAATGACATGATACCCCCCAGAGGGGAGCGGAAAATCTCTAAATGGTCACTAAATCTTCTGAAAGGAAGCAGAGCCCACAGGACTTCTCCCAGCCCAGGAGTGGCTCTGGGTCAGGGCAGGGCCGCACGGAGGAGGCCACTGTGAGGAGCTGATGAGGACAAGAGAAGGAAACCCTGCTGGGGAGCAGCCCATTTTTACTGAAGGCACTGCAGACTCCTTATCACTGTGGGGGGATCACTGACCTTGGCAGTTCGACTTCAGGTTTGGATCTGGGGTGGAGAAAGCAGGACGCCCAGAGGTGTACATAGTGATGTCCCACATTCCTTCGCTAGGTTGCTCGTTTAGGTTGTCTGTAGCACAGAAGTATTAAAACTGTCAGATATTGTGGGTGACTGGATTAAGGCCATTTGTATTTTGTATATATATTTTAAGATGAGTGATGTGAGAGCTTAGGGAGAGGCCCTTGCAGAGCTGGCAGGCAGTGATAGATTATTTTCAAAGCCAGGCTGACATACGGGTACACATGGAGGTGTCTGTGACCTCTGGGACTCTTTTCTGACCCTGATGCGGTACCTTAGTCGTGGTTCTGGCGGGGCCTTCACGGTGGAGTTTCGGGGAGTTGGCAGAGTTAACTGTGGGGAACCGTTTTGGTTTGGTGCTGATTTGGATGAGAGTGTGTGTGTTGCGGGGGGGCTTTGGGGATAATTGGGGAAGCTGCGAGAGGAGATGGGAGGGGAATTAGGTAATGTGACTTTAGAAAGAGGTCGGGAGGGAGAAGATCACTCCCAGTGTGTGGAGGAACCTTGCTCTGTTTGCGTTGTTAATCCCCAAGTCAGCGGAGGAGGCAGGTGTGCAAGGGGTTACTGTTTGGGGATGGTGAGGGGTGGGAACTGGAGGCCACCATGGGCCAGGTCAGCTAGCGGTAGGGGTGGGAAACGGGTATAGTGACTTTGGCCAACCCTGAGATGACAGAGTTCAGGCCGCATAGACAGAGCCAGCTGAACAGAAACAGAGGCTGTGAGGTTGGACTTGCCCCGAGTTCAGGGGCCTGAAAGGCAGTGCTCGTGTGCTTTGCCAAAGGAGCAAGTTAAAACCTTCAGGCCCTGGGAGTCAGGAAGATCTGCTGTGAAGGGACTAATCACTAGACATGTCGGGATTTGGGGGCACCCAGTTTAAAAAACTACACTACCTTTATTTACTCAGTCTGTGGGAACCAGTTACGGCTACAATACCAGCTTAACAAGCTGCAGAGCTATTGGAGAGTGTGGGACTTGGGTGAGCCGCCAGTGGTGGTTCCCAAGGCCAAACCCCTGAATTAGAGGCGGTCCCCTCCCAATTGCCTGTGAGGCCACCCTCTCTTTTTCAGACTTCCTGGTGCAGTTCTCTTTCTGCAAATGCTGCTTTGCAAAGCCCTCAAGCTCTTCCAAGACTGGTTTTATGTTTGAAAGTGAAAGTCACTCAGTTGTGTCTGACTCTTTGGGGTCCCATGGACTATACAGTCCATGGAATTCTCCAGGCCAGAAAACCATAGTGGGTAGCCATTCCCTTCTTCAAGGGATCTTCACAATCCAGGGATCAAACCCAGGTCTCCTGCATTGCAGGTGGATTCTTTACCAGCTGAGCCACCAGGGAAGCCCAGTTTTATGTTTACTTCATCTTATTTATTTATTTAATATATTTTTGACTTGGGAAAAACTTAACTAGTTTAAAAAATAAAAATGGAGAAAACAAGACCACCCCCCTCCAAAAAAAGTAGAACTTAGTAAATTATAAAGTCAAGAAAAGAGCTTTATTTGTTCCCCCAGAGGCTTCTTGGTGAGCCCCAATCCTGCCTCAGCCTGCTCTTTCCCTTCCTTCCCAAGGTGACCCCCTCCTGTCCTTTTATAGCCATTTCCTTACTTTTTTTTTTTTAATGATTTTATTCTCCCAAATGTCTGTCCTTAGGCACTGCAGTTTAATTTTTACATTTTTTGTTAATTGGCATGTGTTTTAAGTTTCTTTATCTACATTCCCCCCACCCCCCATCCTGTTTCCTGGCAGTTATCTGCTGTAGAACCTGGGCCTTTAGACCTTTGGGATCTCTCCCAGTCCAGATTGAGCAATTGTGTCCCAGGGTGCAGGTCAGCACGCCCTTGTCTGTGCTTATATGAATCGGCAGCTGGATCTAAAGGCTCGATGGGCCTCAGCCCTGGTCCTTCTGGCAAGGTGGAGGTGGTTTGGGCCTTTGCTTTCCTTTTGTTCCATATCTTGCTCATAGGCAGGGAGCCGGAGCGCCACTTCTGTGGCAGGACAGTGGGGCCTGAGGAGAGGCCAGGCCAGCTCAGCCTCTCAGTGGCTCTGCAGTCCTTGTCAAACCAGTTTCCCCAGCACGGGTGTGACAGGTGTGGCAAGGGGAAAAGGCTGGATGTGTTCTCTAATTCGTTGATGGGATTTCCCTGGTGGTCCAGTGGTTAAGAATCCGCCTGCCAGTGCAGGGGACATGGGTTCGATCCCTGGTCTGGGAAGATGTCACATGCCATGGGTCAGCTAAGCCCGTGCGCCACAGAACTGCTGAGCCCCATGCCCTGGAACCCCCTAGCCGCAACGAGAGAAGTCACCAAAACGAGAAGCCCGTGCACTGCAACTAGAGAAGAGCCTGCACTCAGGGACAAGACCCAGCACAGCCAAAAATTAATGAATGAATGAATAAACACAAAACAAGAGTCGTGACTTTAAAAAGCAATATAATTCACCGAGGCGGGTTCACAGAGGGCCCTCCCTCCTTCCTCCACACTGACCCTTCTCCCCAGGGCCGCGCCTCTGCCTTCTCCATGTAGGGCGCACACAGCCCCAGTGGTCAGAGCTTAGAGAGCAGCCAGGCTCCATAGTCTTAGGCCATATCTGCGTCATCAGGCCAGGGAGGTTGGGAGGATAGTGGGACCCTTTTGTGACCTGTGGTCGTGGCCTCACCTGCTGGTCTCAAGCCCTGGGTGCAGAGACTCGCCTGACAGGATGGGGAGGTGTGTCGGCTGCCAGTGGTGTTGGCTGGCGGCTGGAGAGGGGGGCATGTGGAGGGCCAAGATGAGTGCTGCTTCCGTGCGAGGGTAGCCTCAGGGTTCAGGCCCAGGGACTTGTCCACTAGTCCTGGCTTTCTTGTCTGAAGCCCACCCCAGCGCACCTCAAAATGTGATGGGCAGCCTGAACCAGGGTCGGAGAAGGCAGTGGCACCCCTCTCCAGTACTCTTGCCTGGAAGATCCCATGGACGGAGAAGCCTGGTGGGCTGCAGTCCATGGGGTCACTAAGAGTCAGACACGACTGAGCGACTTCACTTTCACTTTTCCCTTTCACGCATTGGAGAAGGAAATGGCAACCCACTCCAGTGTTCTTGCCTGGAGAATCCCAGGGACGGGGGAGCCTGGTGGGCTGCTGTCTGTGGGATCACACAGAGTCGGACACAACTGATGCAACTTAGCAGCAGCAGCTGAGCCAGGGTCTGGTGTGGGGCCAACTACGTGGTCACCTCAGAGCGCTGCTGCCGGGTCAGCTGTTGCCGTGAGGCCCTGGAGGATCAGGGCTCTGCTCATGGCTGGCCTATACCTGTGAGTGGGGTCAGCCAAAGAATTTGTTTGGGTTTTTCCATACACTGTAACGGAAAATCCCATATGAGCTTTTTGGCCAACCCAATATATAGCAAGCCCATTGTCCTTCAGATGGGAACTGCTCTTGAGAAGAGGTGTCTTGTGATTGATGTACCAGAATTGATCTGGCTTTCCCCCAGTACTATGACACTTACCACATGCCTGTGGTGGTTTCATTGTGCTGTTAAGTCACACATTAAAAATTTCATTTATTTTTACACTTAAATACTTTTGAAGCCAGGTGCATTCAGATTTTTGCATCGTCTGTATGCATCAAGGTTGCTTAGGCCTAAGGAGACCGACCAGGCTTTGTTTTCTTGCCTTGAATCCAAGTTTTTTGAGGGTTGTCCTTTAGGGAGGAGGATGTAAGGAATTGCAGAGTCAGGGAGGCGTGGGATGTGCGGGTGGAAGGGCCGGAGAGGCTACTGGGCACTGCTCAGGAGCTGCCCAAAGGAGCTGATGTCAGCAGTGGGCATAGCGGGGAGGGGAGTGCTGAATTTCTTGTATTCGAGATCTGTACCATTACATTTAAGAATTGAATTCCTTAGAATTTGGTGAGGTCAAGGCCACAGCTATGGCTAGTTGCTTAGGTGGTGAAGCAGGAGTTAAAGCCATGTTTTCTGGTGTTGGCTGCTCTGGTGTCCTTCACTCCTAAGAGTGAAGGTCCTTAGAGGGAGTCCTTGCTTTTACCTCAAGTGTTAACAAGTGGCAGGTAGGTAGCAGACCCCAACCAAAATGATCCCGGGCCAGAGCAGAGTCATCTCATTCTTGAAAATCTATTCTGTTATAGATGTTGTTTCTCTGAATCACCTGCTGACTAGTAGTGTTTGATTTTTTTTTTTTTTAATTGTCAGTATCAAAAACAGCCGAGGCAAAATTTACATGTAGCAATATGCATAAATCATAAATGTACAGCTTGACAGTTTTACATATGTATAGACCACTGAGATTAAGATATAGAATATTTTCAGTAGATTCTATCATTCCTTTACCCAATCAGCATCTCCCCAGAGGTAACCACTGTTCTGGACTTGAGCCTAGTTTTGCTCCTCTTGACCTTTATTTATTTGGCTGTGTTGGGTCTTAGTTGTGGCATGATTTTAGTTCCCCCACCAGGGGTCGAACTCAAGTCCCCTGCATTGCAAGATGAGTTCTAATTAACCACTGGACCACCGGTGAAGTCTCACACTGCTCTTGACCTTTATGTAAGTGGAATGGTATAGAATGTATATATGTACTTTGACGTGCCTGTCTTTTCTTGCTGAACGTTCTCTGACATCTTTGTGGGTCTGTACAGCAGTTTGTTCTCTTTTGTTGTATAGTATTTCACATATGACTATACCACAGTTTACTGCTTTCTCTGTTGGTGGACATGTGGGTAGTCTTTAACTTTTGACTGTCGTGAATAATACTGATAAAAAGTCATTCTTTTCCATGGCTTCTAACAGCTAAGAGTGATTTAGGTATACTTCACATTTAAATTGCTGGGAATTTTCTTGGTATGCCTTTGTTGTGTTTTGCTTTTGGTCTTGTGGAGAATTTCAAGTGCACTCAAAAACAGAGTAATATGAATCCCATGGGCCTGTCACCAGCCCCAGCATCCGTCAACTTCCATCCATCAATGGGCCAGTCTTGGGCATTCACACTCCCGACTGTTGTCCCCCCCCACCCCCCCCCCCCATTGTTTTGGAGCACATCTCAGACATCCTGTCATTTCATCCATCAGTAGTTTAATGTGTACCTGTAAAAGGTAATGGAACCACAACAGCTGCTGAAAGGCTTCCTGTTCCTCTCTATCCTCATGTCCTTTGCTAGGGGTTTGTATCATGGTCCTCATGGTAGAGTGTGGTTCCCAGTTCCTGTTTACCCTTCATCTTGATCAAGTTGCCTGTGTCACCTGCTTTTCCGGCAGTTTTTGAACCGGGAGCCAGCATGGTGTAGAGCTGGGAAGGTCATCTAAGGGCTTTGGTATGTCCGTCACTGTGGTGGGCACCACTTTCTGTTGGATTAATTCTCATGTGTGCAAGTTAGGCTGATTCCGAGAGGAAGATGGGAATGGACTGGTGAGTACTTCTTTTGTGCTCAGACACACAACTGCCTGTCCCAGATGGCTGCACTGGCCTGGGACAGATGGTTCTTCCCCCAGTGCTGCTAGAGTCTGGAGGGTGTGACCCCCAGGACAGCTGGGCTCCAGCATTCCTCTGAGACCTTGCCCCTAAGTTGAAAGACAACAGGCCTCAAACTTAGATTCAGCAATACCATTTAGAAAAGGTTATTGTTTTTCAGAAAAGTGAAGCTACAGTATGAAGATTAGACTTGGGAGCCCCCAAGTACCCTCTAGCGTCCCTCTCCTGTCCTCCCTGGGCTCAGCACTTGTATTTGCTTCCCTGCTACCCTGAGCCCAGAGTTGTTCTGGGGTGGGCCCAGGAGGCACCCTGGCCCAGGGCTGGCCCACAATAGGAGCAGAGAACACCACAGATACCTTATTATTGGGAGTAATTAGCTCGTAAATTTTCCATAGCAATTTTCCTCTGAGGTAGTCAAGTCTGACTAGAAAAACATAGCACCATGTTTTGATTCATTAGTCATCTGGACACTCACACTCCCCTGTTTTCACACTGGCTAACTATGAAGCACCATTACTCCCAGCTTGAATTTATGACACCCACTGCCCACTCTGCCCATTAATTCAACAGCGTGAGAGGGGCAGGCTGTCTCATATTCTTTCAACCAGTCCCTCCCTCCTCCTCCTTCCATCTCATGTTATTAATGAAGGAGTTTAACAGTAACTCAGTTTTAGTGAAAGTAAGGGAAAAGTCACTTATATGTTTCAGTCGCAATGTACTTTGAAGGGTATTTTGCCAGTCTCTAGCAGTTCTAAGGTACACAGCCTTTGACCCAGCAATTCTGTGTCTGGGATTTTATCCTCCAGTTTCTTGCCAGAAGCATGCATGTCTGAGAGGGAGAGAGCACCCTTCAGACCAGAACATGCAGGATACTTGGACAGCAGTGCCACAGGCAGCAGTAGAGGGTGGGGAAATGGATCTGCTCACTCAGGCTGAGGTCTTCCAGTTCTAGCAAAGTGTAAAAAGTAATAGTTACGAGCTATGTGATTCCATTTGAACTTTTAAGAATGAAATAAAAAGAGATGTTCTAGTTTAAATGTTTAGAGATGTGTTAAATGTGTCATTTGTGGAAAGCTGCTGAAGAAATCCAGCCTCATGTACGTACGTTGTAGAATATTGGTGAAATCTGTTTCACCTCCATGTGAATTACTTTTATTGCAGTAAGTCCAAAGGACCTGACAGCTGATGGCATCATTGCAAGGCTTACTGTGTGTCTTCTGTATCATGCCCGGGGATGGTTAGTGGGAAATCTGATACTGGGAAACTCTGGTTTCAGCCTGCCCAGAGCTTGTGTTTAGCTCTGGGGCCTCTGAACTTGGTGAAGGTCTGGTCAGGGTTTTTTTCCCTCCAGGAGGGAAGGCTCCTGGGAAGGAAGGATGAAACTATTTTTAATCTTGAGCAAACATAGCCCACTGTAGTAATTTCAGGCCCCAGTGTGACATTTTCTTCCATTATCATCCGAGTCACTTTTAAAACAAATAAACAAAGTCCTTTTTTGGTATACTTTGTAGTGTTTCTAGAGGGAAATGGTTTTAAGATACTCCCATTTTGCCTTATAGAGGAGGACTTACGGGCCTGGTGGGCTGTTTTGAATCACGTCGTCACGGAGCTTGGAGCCTGGAGCCTGGAGCGCTGGTGGACAGAGTGCAGGGCGTGAGGTGAGTGGTAGGATGAGGGTTACTCAGGCCATGAGTGTTCACAGAGCTCGTCTACTGACTTTGCCTCACAAGTGCTGATGAACATTGCTGCTTTGTCGGGGAGGCACTGAGGTCCTAGAGGAGAGGCAGACCACGCCCCACCTTCCTTTCTCTTAGCGCTTCTTGTCATGTCACATAGCTCAGACTTTTGTAACTCAAAATCTGGATACAACTTCAGAATTGCACAAAAATTGCTAGAGTGGTACAGGAAACTCCTAAATATGCTACCTTGAGTCACTCTTTGTTTCCGTTTTGCCTTCTTTTTGCTTTGTCATTGTCTTTTCTCTCTATATACATTTTTTTCTCCTGAACCATCAATGAGTGATTGGCAAACACCATGCTCCTTTACTCCTAAGTACCTAATCATGTCTTTCCTAAGAATAAGGGTATTCCCTTACATGATCACAATATGTCTGTCAGTATGAGGAAATATCATACTAGTGCAACGTCTAATCTGTTACTACATTCCATGTTTAGATTCCTCACTTGTTCCAACAGTGTCTTTGATAACCAGCCCCATGTGAGTAGGTACACAATGCTGGTTTGTCCTGATGTTCAGCCCTGGCTGGGAAGGTACCTAACAGTTTTTTCCTTTGTAAAGTTGTGGTTTTTTCCTTTGCAATTAATAAGTAATTCATGAGAGGACACTATGTAAATATCCTGTTCCTTATCAGACTTGGACCCTCTGCTTTCTGCATGCAGTGATGCTTCTAAGACCATCATTCCTTCTGTATTGTCATCTCACTGAAAGAGGAGACTTCTCGCCTCCTTCACTTTTCTGTTCATTGCTTTGTGTATGTGATTTCACATTGATAACTTAGTGTGATATCACCCATTCTTGTCATCATTCATTTTGAGGCCCAGATTGTCTCAGGTTTGGCTAGCAGGAACACAGAGGTTGGCTCCTGTGTTCTTTTGACATGTCTCCATCATGGTTTGAGCACTTCCTCAATTTCCAGTGCAACAAGATGTTTCAGGTTCCTTTCCCCGGCCTGGTGTCAACCCTTTCTACAAGGAGCCTTGGTTTCTTTTAGTTAAAGTAGCGATTAGAAGCCAGGATATGGATGCATATGGTACATATGTTTATTTACTGACGTCTTTAAAATAAATCTAATTTTGTATTCAGTTACTTAATCATGTTGCAGTTCAATAAAGGCATTTCTCGAACTAAATAAAGGAGTTCCAGTTCTTGATTTTTGCTATAAGTGGAACAAGTGAACACAGGACATTAACAGAGTGAGATGGACTTTAGCAACAAAATAAAAGAATGTTTCACTTGCTCAAAAATTATTTCTACTTAACTGTTACAGAAATTAGCAGAACCACTGAGCTAATTTCTGAAGAGGAAAGATATACCTGAATATCAATGCCAGGGACCCTTGTTCCGGGCTGTGGACTGCCTGAAGCGCAGCTCCACAAGGCTGTGTCCTTCACCCTGTTGTTAGAGCTTTGCAGTAATGGCAGTATCCATCAAGGCAATGAAGCCCATGTGCCCTAGTGTTTCAGGTGGCCTTTGACATAGTTTCCCTCAGTGGGTCCTGGTGTCGTGGGAAGACCTGGGTCTGGCCTGTGTTCCCCCTGTGCCATCGTTAAGACGATGTGAACAAATCAGATACAGCCCCTGGGCTGTCGCTATTCTGAGGATTTAATAAGGAAAGGCATAGTGAAGGGTTAATTGGTTAATGGAGGACTGAGGTGGGTGGTTTCCCGAGTAAGCAGCATTAGGCTGGCAGCTCTGCCCTCTGCACTGCTGCGACCTTTGGTAACCACTGACCTCTTCCCTGTCCCATCCCCAGAGGACCGCCACATCTGAGGTTCTGTTGGGCAGGACCACTGCTTCCCTGTCGAGGTGTCGATGAAGTTAGAACCTGTTCATTCTCCTTGAGAATGTTTCGGGCGTGATTCCTTTCAAGCCTGTTGTGCCCCATCCCATAATAATTGCCGTGCACCAACCACTTACAGGCTTCAGTGCCCAGGCCCTCTGCTGGTTGCTGTGGGTCATCCCGCAGGATGTGAGCTACAGAGGAGTAACCAGCGCCAGGCAGGTGCACCCCAGTCCTGCATGAGGTGCTCACTGAGTCTCAGATGACTGTTGAGGTTCAGGCCTCGTCACTTTCCTGGCTCCATGGTCAGTGTCAAAATCAAATACTTAATCGTCTGTAAAAGCAAAAGATAGCTGAGGTCCCTGGTCGCATTGCAGGTTAACCAAGAAAACATATGCACGCTTTAAATTGCTCTTCTTTGAACTAGCTGCAGTCGTTCACAGGGTGGACCCTCTCAGAGACTGCTGCTCAAGTTTGCAGTAATCTTTGGGGTCGGAGAGGTGGCAACTCTGGTGTCAAGAGCGTGCTGGGTGATTTCCTGCTTCTTAGCCTTAGAGAGGTTGAGTGACTTGAGGTGTCTGAGGAGTGTGAGTTTATAAAGAGAGCTTGACTTGAAAACTAAAAAGCTGCTTTCTAGATAAATGCTCCTGATGACCGGTGAGTTTACTCCTGTTAGTTCTTTGTCACAAAGAAGTTAGGATTTTCCTCTACTCATTTGCTGAATACAGCGGGCAGTGATCTCAGTGATCCAGGCAGTGATCCTGGCACAGGACTGGAGGGCTGCTCTCTCCCTTTGGATGAGAAGCATCTCCAAGGGGGTGGAGGCTCCGTTTGCTCCCTGTCCAGTTCTGAGTCACGTTGACGGTGAGACATCTACTTGGGTTGTAACACTCAGTGAAGTCCCAGAAAGGACCCTACAAGAGGCATCTAGAGAGTGAGGACTGTGGTCTTTGTGGCCTTTTCTCCGCGCACTGAAGTGTCTCCAGCCTAGCTTGCTGCCTTAGGATAAACAGCTTGAGCAGGGTATGGAGGGCACTCTCCCTCGTTCCTGTTGGTTGGTGTCCTGACTGTCTTGTCTCAGCTTCGCCTGCTGTACAGAAATCTTACCAAGGGATGACTAGGTTACGGGACATATGGAGAGGCAGAGACCAAGTCCTCTTTTATCAGTCAGGCTCTGCGGGGGCAGCTTGGGTCTGAGAAGATAGAAACAGAGCTCCATCTAGCTTACTCACACTTTCTCTTTTGCTTGTGACCTTTCTGCCTTCCTGTCTCCTTTTCTGACCAAGGACGTTCTGATGGGTGGGCAGCAGCTATCTCTGTGGTTCTTTGAGGGGCCAGCCTGTTAGAAGGACTGTGTTGCCATGAATCCTTCACAGTGCCTGCTTTATCCCTGTGTAAGATAAATGCATAGAGGTTCCTGACTCTTGATTAGCTCTTTTCTTAGGGCCACAGATCTTTTAAGGTTCACTGGATTTGGTATACAATGAAAAGACATGAAATAAACTTGTCATTTACAGAAGAGGCAGTTAGCTCCCAGCACAGATGATTTACCTAGAGCCTGGGAAGGGTGCAGGATGCCTTGGTGCTCGCGTTAGAAGCCAGTTGAAGATCCTTGGGAAAAGAATATGTGAAGAGTATCTGAAGAATGAAGCTATGGGCTGGTGGGAATCTTTGTTCATTTGTGCTCTGGGAATTCATTCTTGCTTGGTGATGGCCCCGCTCGGAAATTTAGAAGATCTTGGCTCTGAAAGAAGAAAACACCTTCGTGCATCAGGAAAGGCTGGCCACTGCTGAAAAGTACAATACTTGGTAGCTGCTACTGTCTCCCCAGTGCTTGGGAAGAGGTAAATTGTGTCTGCGCCCTTTTGATAAGACAGACGGTCCTCTGCATTTGTCCTCCCCTTATCTGTTTTTGCTTTTAATTTTGAATCCTTGGCTTCTAAAAGTCAGGAAGGAATTTCCAAAAAATTACTACTGAGTGGACACCCACTTCTTCCTTTGTGCTCAGGGAGGGATCAAAGCCTGTAGAAAGAGGAGGTAGAAGCAGTGGGAGGTGAGGACAAGGGCATCTTCAAGGGTTTCTTCAGCTGTGTTCAACCCGGATGTAAGTCCATTCCACTCCAGGCCTGATTCTGAGGTCAGGCATGGCTTGACCTTCTCAGCATTGGTCTTGTTCACTGCTTCGATGCCTGGTCACAGAGGCACTGTGGCTTTCCAGTGTGGGGGTTCCCAGAGTCTGCAAGGCCATCTTTGGGCTTTTTTGCTCCAGCCTTCAGCAGCATACCCCTAAAACCGACCGGAGAAGTTTGCGATTCTTTAGATTTTGTAGCTGTGGCAAGGCTGAGGTAGGTTGCCCAGTTGGACAGAGCCATATGTGGGAGGGAAAGAATTCTGCTAGCAAGAAAGTCTGAGCAAACGGAGCGGGTGCTAGTTGTGTCTTGTCATTTTGTAAACAAGGTTTGTTGATCTGGCCATTTCTGGTGTGATTGAAATGTTTTTGATGGTCGGGCCTTAAGAAGGAGGCCCCCAAAAAGATTATAGTCAAAAGCAAGTCATAGCTTTATTTTTTTATAATTATTTATTTTTAATTGGAGGATAATTTGTTTATAATATTGTATTGGTTTCTGCCATGCATCGATATGACTCAGTCATTGGTATACGTATGTCCCTTCCCTCTTGAACCTCTCTCCTACCTCCCACCCAGGTCATAGCTTTTAATGTTGAATGTTGCGTGTTTGCCTAGATAAACACCCATAACAATGGCATCTTCCTGTGAGGGTGCAAGAGCTCTCAGTCCCAGGGGCTGGGCTGGGATTCCCCTGTCTGGCTCCTGACGCCTGTATTGAGAGGTTGCTGGTGGGGTCAAAGGGGGCTGCGGGAATGGGGGACCTGAAGAGGGAGCTGGTAGTGGCTGGGGCCTCCCAGATATTTAATCTCACTCCTCTGTTCTGAAATCTGAGTAGCTAGTTAGGTCAGGAAGGCCAGCAGTCAACTATCTTTTTCTAACCTTAATTCACTGAAGCCTAATTAGCATGTTAGTTTTGAGTGAGGGTACTTATTTTTAGTCTTTTGTAGAACAATGGACGGAGAAGGCAGTGGCACCCCACTCCAATACTCTTGCCTGGAAAATCCCATGGACGGAGGAGCCTGGTAGGCTGCAGTCCATGAGGTTGCTAAGAGTCAGACACAACTGAGTGACTTCACTTTCACTTTTCACTTTCTTGCATTGGAGAAGGAAATGGCAGCCCACTCCAGTGTTTTTGCCTGGAGAATCCCAGGGATCGGGGAGCATGGTGGGCTGCCCGTCTATGGGGTCGCGCAGAGTCAGACACGACTGAAGCGACTTAGCAGTAGCAGCAGCAGAACAATGGAAACAAATATCAGAAAGCTCAGCTTTTAACTTCAAAGTGTGAAGTGAAATGAAAGTGGCTTAGTCGTGTCTAACTCACTCTTTGTGACCCCATGCACTATATAGTCCATGGAATTCTCCAGGCCAGAATACTGGAGTGGGTAGCCTTACCCTTCTCCAGGGGATCTTCCCAACCCAGGGATCAAACCCAGGTCTCCCACATTGCTGGGGGATTCTTTACCAGCTGAGCCACAAGGAAAGCCCTTAAAGCATGAAGTCAGATGATTATTTGCTTTGCGCTTAGTGAATCATTTTGGGGATTCAGTGGAAACCCTGTCACTATACCCTGGTATCTGCTGAAGACCTGCTCGGTGCTCGGCGCCAGTCGGGGAGAGGGCAGCAGAGCGTCTGTGGCCCCAGACCCCTCCAGGAGGGGGACCTCTGCTTCTCCCTTTCCTCTCTGGGCAGCGCTTGGCGTCCAGCCTTGACCTGACAGGTACCAGCCATCCTACCCTTACAGTGTTATCCCAGCCCTACCTTTTTCCTGAGATGGGTTGGATAGCCAGAGGAAGTTTGGGGTATCATTGCAACTTGTATTTTCTAGTAAGCACCTACTTGAAAAATACTTGTGTTTAGTTTATTGCCTCATATATAATATATAAGTATTTCATTTATTACCTCTTAATAGTAATGTATGTAAATCTTAATTGACTATTTTTGTATGAAACTTGGAAAGACTACATGCGTAGCAAATGAAGCCTCACACATAGCACAAGGTAGGTAGTCGGAAAACATGCACTGAAGTGTTAATTATTGTTGGGCTGTCTTGGGATAATTGTAATTTACTTTAATTGGGTCCTTGGATGCCACAAGGGTATGTGAATGGAGTAATTCATTTCTGCTTGTTTCTGCTGGGTCTGGCCACCCACTTCTCACACTTACTCCACTGCTTCCACCCCACCTGAAAAGAGTCCAGCTTCTGCAGCCAAACGAACAGTTAGGCCTGGTCCTTGTGCTTGGGCTCTCAGTTTATCCTTTTCCAGCCTTGGTGCCTTACCCGAGGCACTTTTATTTATTTTTTGGCTGCACCATACAGCTTATGGGATCTTAGTTCCCCAACTAGGGATCAGACCCAGCCTCTCAACAGTGAGAGCACAGAGCCCAAACCACTGGACTGCCAGGGAATTTGCCTGAGGCACTTTTAGTCAATAATTAAAAGTTGATCTAAGTCTCCTAAGTGTTTTTCCTAAAGTCTAATTGGTGTAACTCTTGAGCAATGTGGAGTTTCAAAAGATATTTATAATTGTAGTAAAATATATATAACAAAGTTTGCCACCTTAACCATTAAATTTTTTAAGAACTGTGATAAACAACATAAAACTTCACCATCCTAATTGTTTTCCGTGTGCAGTGAGTACTGAGTAATGTTTAACAGCAGCACATGGAGTTCAGTGGAGTGTAGAAGGAGCTGGTTTTTTTGTGAGCTCTGTCACATAGAATGTTAAAGATCTACCCAGGTTTGAAATCACAGCCCAGTGGAGAAATGGCCGTTCGGCCCTGGCTTCTGAACCTTGCCTTTCTTTCCTTCCTCTGGGATGTGTTTGCACCTGAGTGGGATTGTGCCCAGGTAGAAGACCTTTATTTCCTTCCTGCCTTTGTTGAGAAAACCACACCACCGTCAGCAGAAACCACTGCCCTTCCTGGACCTCCGCTTTTGGTATCTGTGATCACTGAGCGTCGGCAAGAGTTCTCCGAGCGAGAGAGGCGTTCACATAGTGTTTCTGTTTGATAGACTGTTGAGTAGTGCTTGCTTCTCACAGGTGGTCATTT